GTGTGGATCAGGGCACGGTAGAAGCAGGTGGTCTGTGGATAGAGGGCCAGCACCAGCTGCTCCTTCTGAAATAAGGCTTCGGGGTCCGTCTCCGGGTTGGCCTTCCACTGCGGCAGAGGGATGACGCGACGCCGGCTCAGAGTGTGTCTCCTGGGGGCAAGGGCCGGGGGAGCGTGTTAACCCCGGCCACGTGGGGGACTGGTCCCCAGCAGCCTGCTTGCCCCCGCCTCCCCCACCCCCCTCCAGGCCCAGACACTCACTCCTTGCCTTCTTCATCAATGTCATCCACCTCATACCTGAGGAGAACCAGAGGAAGGAAGACACACTGCAGTGCAGGGCACAGTCGGGGGCAGGGGCATGCTGCAGCCTGCAGCCCCCCAGGAAAGCACTGTGCCCATAGGCAGACAGGCAGGGCAGGGCAGGGCAACCTGAGCCAGCAGGCAGCGGGCCCACTCACTTGTTGGTAGCATGGCTGTAACTGACCACCTCGGCCAGGATCCACTGCTCATCGCCGTCCATGGCCTTCACCCGGGCAGCCACCTTGTCTCCAGGCTTGGCCACGTAGTCCCCGGAGGCTGGGATGGCCCCACAGAGGGGCGGGGGCCTATAAACGAGGCGTGTCGTCAGCCGCAGCCACCTTGGGCACCAGCCCCCACCCCCACCCCCGCCGCCCTCACTTGTCTCCGGGCTTCCCGATCCACAGGGGCAGAGTCATGGCCGACTGCTGCAGCAGCGTCATCAGCACGCCGCGGCGCATGGTCTTTCGCGGGGGCTCCGAGTCATTGTACAGGCCGGCAATCTTGGCCGCTGTGGGAGGAAGGGAGCCCTCGGGCTTGAGACTCAGCACCGCACCGTCTGCCCGGAGCCCCACTTCCAGAATCCACACCCAAGGACCCAACACCATGCATGCCCCGGCACTAGGTGCTCACGGCTGAAAAGCCCACCAAGTGAAGCTGCCCGTGGAGCTGAGCCCTGGGGCAGGACTGCAAACTTGCTGCCCCTCCC